ATTATATAGCTGGTTCCACTCCCACCTATCAAAATAGAGATAGCTGGCACTCTCCTCCTTACTCTTCCAGCATTAATTAACATCATATTCATCAAAATCCAATTAATTCTATTTGTTACACATAGAAATTGAGAATCTCAGAAAATCACAACCTTATTAGTGTTCATTAACATTAAATACATTTGACAAATTTTTTTTTTAACTACTCCGCATCCCTAAGGCAAGAAGACATCTCCAAAAATCTAGGCTTTAGGATGTATTTGGTTTTTGAAAAATTTTACCCCTAGCAGTGCCAAGACTCACATTCTAAGTATTTCCACTTTGCCATATGCTTCCTCAAACACTTCCACATCAGTTATGTTGTAAAGTCTGTATGTAAAGAAAGGGAAATTGAGCAATTCTCTCCATTGCTTTCCTCTGTGTGCATGTATGCATGTGTTTGTGTGTAGCATTTCTTTATACTAGTGTTTTAGTGTTTCATTGAAAACTTTTTGGGACATGTTTTCTAATTTCCATTCTGTAAAAGGACATAATACATTTTACTACTCTCAATCAAGAGAATAAAAGGGGACTATAGAAGCTTTGCATTGCTCTCTTTTCATAGATCCTCAAATACGAGATTAAAAAATCCATGCGGCTGACTCATTTGCACAGGATCACAGACTCTAAAAGCTAGAGGTACCCTAGATTAGTCAGTGCCTATCTACCCAGTGAAAGACTCACTTCGGTAATGCCATAGGCAATTAAAAAAAATGTTTTCCCTATGCTATACTCTAAATCTCTGTGACTGTTTGCAATTACTAATTCATACTTATTCATCCCTTCACCCTTTTTCACCCAGCCCTCTTATCCTCCTCCCCTCTGGCAATCACCAGTTTGTTCTCTGTATCTGTGAGTCTATTTTTGTTTAATTTGTTCATTTATTTTGTTCCTTAGATTCCGCATATAAGTGAAATCATATGGGATTTATCTTTGACCTATTTCACTCATTGACTTTTTTAAACAAAAAATTCAGTTTTATTTCTAAGAGGTAATCTGCTATAAAACAAAACTTTCAAAAAGCTCTGTAAGTAATTGGGTGATCTAATATAATACGTGCAAAGGTAGAGAAGCGCAGGTGCTATGGGAATTTATAGGAGAAATGTTTGGAGAATTAGGAAGAGCTGGGCTCCCAACTTAAGTTGCACTTAGGATGAGAAGAGATAAAAATTATGGGTTATATACACACTCCCCGACTCATGATGGTTTGACTTACGATTTTTCAATTATGCGATGGTGTGAAAGTGATACACATTCAGTAGATGCTATACTTTAAGTTTTGAATTTTGATCTTTTCATGGGCTAGCAATAGCGGTACAACACCCTTTCATAATGCTGGGCAGTGACAGCAAGTTGCAGCCTCCAGTCAGCCACGTGATCATGAGGGTTAACCAATTGATACTCTAGCGTACTGTGTTATTAGCATTTTTTAATTTTAGTTCAATGCTTCAAACATTCTTTAAGCCCAGTGTGTTTTCAGTTGTGTATATTAACGATGAATAGCCATATAATCATTCTTTCTTCACTTTCGGCACAGTATTCAATAAATTATATGAGATATTTAACACTTTATTATAAAATAGGCTTTGTGTTAGATGATTTTGCCCACTGTAGGATAATATAAGTGTTCTGAGCATGTTTAAGGTAGGCTAGGCTGAGCCTTAATGGTCAGTAGGTTAGGTGTATTAAATGTATTTTTGACTTATGATATTTTCAACTTAACGATAGGTTTATTGGGAGTAACCCTATTGTAAATTGAGGAGCATCTGTATAAATTAAGGAAAGCATTAAATGCTCAAAACCAAAGCTAAAAAGGTGTATTTGAGAAAGTGACAAGAATTTAATATGCCTTGAGAGTGGAGGGTGGAATACAAGCAGATAGCTGAAGAAAGGAGGCAAAAGTAGAGCAAGAATATAATCACTAGGAAGATTCACTGTAGGCTATTAAATCATTTAAGCTTTTTCCTAAAAATGATAACACTGGAAAGGTTTTAAGTAAAGCATTAACAATTTTATGCTTCAGAAATTCTACTATGGCTTCACTATAGAAAATGGATCAGAAGGAACAAATGTTAAAATTCAGAAACTAATTAAGAAGTATTATGGAAATTCAGATAATAAGTGATTATGGTTTAAAGCAGTATAATAGCATTGGAGATGGAGAAACGGGAAGAGGTTCTCCATGAAAAAGTTCACCATGAGCCAGTGTTAATAAAAATTCATTGAATTTTGAAATTTACTGCACATTAGACAAAATAGTTAAATTTTTGATGTTAAAGGCAAAGTCTATCTGGCTAAACTGATTGTCTATTATTTAAGTATTTCTTTGTTCTCTGGCCCCAAGATTTGATCTGCACTTTGGAAAAGACAGAAAATGAAAATTTTCTTTTATACTTTTAAATTTGATATCCTTAGACCAAAAATAAAAAAAAAAATTAAAAAATGCCAATAAAGAAAAACAAATTATTAAACAAAAATTTGCCCTCAAATAAGAGAGGTGATAGGACAAGGTACAGGTAGATTAGGTAGAAATTTAGGATCTGTTTCCTGTATCTTCTCAGAGAATCCTACATCTCAAGATTAGGAAGGGCTTTAAAGCACATCCTTTTCAATTATATACTTGATAAGAGGATTCCTTTTAAAGAATCCTTTATGAAGGTTACATAATCTGGTATTTCTCAAATTTCAATGTGTATACAAATGACTTCAGTTCTTTTTAAAATGCAGATTCAAATCCCATAGTTTTGGGGAGGAGATTTAAAGTAAGTTTTGATATAACATTTTGCATTTTTTTAGCATTTTAATAGTTTTCCAGTTATTGCTTGTGAACTACCAAGATTCTAATTTATACTTGAAAAGAACTCCTAATTATACCAAGTTCATTGCTAATACTGACATATGGCAATATTAGAGAGTACTATCATGACGAGAATTTAGGACAAATAAAGACTTGTCTCATATTTTATTATACAATTTTACTTATTTCCTAATCAGAGAGCCCACTTTAGCTCAAGTTTTTCCTGCAAAGTGAAGGGTAGATGGTACCCTTTCCTTCTGTAAAACTCATTGAATTAACTTGGGATAAATGATTAATCTATATAACTCTTAATACCTACCAGTGAATTAACTGACCAAAATAAACATCATTTAATTAAGTTTGAAGGTGATAATGCAATATGCCTATGTCTACAGGCAAATTCCTTTTTAAAAAATTCATTTTGCAATTAATAGAAATACAAATGGTTTATAATAATATAACTTCACAGTCAGAAGAACTGCTCTTATTGTTAAACAAAGTCAGAAAATTAAAATGAAGATCAAACCACAGTGTATGATTTTTATAAATGACTCACAGAATCGTTAATGAATTTGAGTACTTTAATTTTCAATATAACTTTCATTTAAGAAGCTTCAGTGGCTTTCACTTATTTTATGTTAGTGTTTTTTTGATATATAAGAAAAAAAACCGCAAGACAAATATTCTTTAAACTTGTTTCTGGCCATAATTTTAAAAGAAAATAAATATTTGATTTAGCAATAATATGTGAATTATTACCAGTGATGAGGTCATGAATCTAAATGAGCTGGAATAGTTCCACATGACACAAAGCCATTTAGGAAGAGTGAGAAAATTACTAGCATGTCATATGAGAAATATTCATGTAATTTGGTGTATTTGTTTTATACTTGGATTATACTAAGTGATCATTTGTAAACTTAATAAAACATTTCTCTCTTTTCATTGCTCAAGCTTCCTATTTAGCTATGCAATGAAATCAGAGATCCATGAATGAATATAATATTGTTTTTCTATTTTTGTCCATTAGCAATGAGGATTCTGGTTTTTCTGTTGTTATTATGAAATTATTGGTTTGATATACAAATAATACAGGCCAAGAAGGAAAGTTTCCTTCTATTCTTCTAGGTTCTTGGGCTGTTCTAATAACTAAATTGATATCAGACAGATTAACACAAGAAAAAAACAAATTTAACTTTGTAGGAATGGGAGCTCCGGCAAATTATGAGGCCCACGGGCAGTCAAGCAATTGAGGCTTAAATGATATGCCTTCCTGAGCTAAGGAGAAGAGGAAAGAGATTTGTCTCTTCCAAGGGGAGAAGGCAATTCTCAGGAAGATGAGAAGACAAATGTTTGTTAAACAAATGTGTTCCATGCCATGCAAAGAAGTCTTTCTGATGTAAAAAGAAGTTATCTTTCGTAACAACTTTCTTCCTGGTACTGACTCCCTGTTTAAATTATTCCAGGCAGTTAAAGGAGGAGGTAGTGTAAAAACTACCTGAGTCTTCTGTTTCTTAAAAATAAGCAGCCTAAAATCATCCTCATGCCAAAGAGACATTTTGGAATGGGAAAATTTTGCTCCCCTACATACATAATGACGATAGTAAACCAGAAAGTGACAATATAGATTTCTCATCTAGTGGAACATTTGAGTTTAGACAAAATTGTTTTAAAGAAAAAAGTAAAAGCAAAACAATAGAAAAAGTAGTAAAGTTTTTTTTTTCATTGCCTTTGTGTTTACAAGACTTTTCTAAAATTTCCTGTTGTCATTAAACACTTATTATCAAAAAATGTATTTTAGTTGACATATTGAATTTTCAAGTAATCGAATTATTAATATTAATTTAGTAAGCAAGGGACTATCACCTCATATGAAGCAGCTAAATCCATTTACACAACTAAAATCCATCTAAAGGTCAACATTTTCTTTCACCATATTTCTTATCATACAAACCTTCAGTGGTAATAAATTAATTTTTCAAGAAATAACTATTTTTTTTTGTTCTGATCTGATGGCTGTATGGGCTAATGCCTAGAATTATTATGTTAAGGAGGAGAATTACTGTCTCTCCTTAGTCTACAGACCTCTCACATAGGCCTTGAACCAAAGGGCATATTGATCCAGACAGTCTTCTATTTAAAAATCAATCAATCAATAAATTAGGTGCTGCCATGGCAGCACATATAGTAAAATAGGAATGAAAGGAGAAGACTAGCATGGCCCCCGGGCAAAAATGACATTCAAGTTTATGAAGCATTCATTTATTTATTCTGTAATAAAAATTAAAGTAATCGCGTTTTTGTTTTTGTTTTTGTTTTTGTTTTTTAAGATTGAATTGGATCATGCCTCTTTAGATTGAAACAAACGAGATATAAATAAAATAAAAATAATGAAAATGAAAGCTCACAAAAAAAAGTAACATAATTTTAAGAAAATGTTTCTTGGTATGCAGTCAAATGTTAATTTTTAACTGATGTGTTTTTACATTTCTTTTACTTTAGAACTCATTTTATAAAAAGAAAACAAAAGTACCTTTAAAAAGAAGAAAGCACTTTCATAAATTCACAAAATTATCCATATTATCTACTTTTCATTGTCCAGTTCATGATAGAACTGTTTAATTCTGAGTTTCATTTTATCTGGGTAGACTTGATGCTTATATTGATATCTGATGTAATTATAGTATTATTAACACTTTGCTTCAAATAAAAGCAAATCTAGGCTTAGATAAGAAGAAACTATTCAAAAAGACTAACATAATAAGGAGAACCCTCAGAGCTCAGAAATCTAAAAATGTCTCAAAATCAAACAGAAAAAGGCTATTCCTTTATAGATAGAGGTAAGCAGAGCTTAGCAGATATTTACAAGGGGAAGTTGGACAAGCAAGGGGGAGTGAATAAATAACATAGCACTAGCCATCAGACAAGAAATGTTTCTGTTTGGTCAGCTGATTTTGGATAAGCTGATGAAGGGGTTATATTCTGCATCTTCGTCCCTGCCCAAGGATGGGGACCAGCCAAAGTTCAGGGGCCTGTGGGGAAGAAAGAAGTCTAAATATAGTTTGGTCAAGACACAATTGAGGGTAATAAATTGTGACTACTTGGACAGGAGCTGTAATTGTATATTGTGTGTGTGTGTGTGTGTGTGTGTGTGTAGCACATTAACTGATGGACCAGTATTTCACTTTGTTTGCTAAAAGCTAATTCAGTGGGTCAGTATGTAGTTGTGGTTTCACAGAAAGTTATTTGTTTTTGTCCTCCTTCCTTGCTCCTGAAAACGGAGTCCTTAAAACTTTGGAGTTTCTTGAGTGATAGGGTGGTACTCTTTTGTTTGAATGAGGCAACTCTTGGTGAGTGGGCCCCTACATAGCTTCGGGATGAGGACTGGGTGCCAGCAAGATCACAATTCAATAGAAGCTTAGAATTTTTAGCCCCACCCCCAACTTTTGAAGAGCAGGGAGAAGCTAGTGATCAAGTTAATCACCAATAGCTAATAAAAATCTGCATAGAAAAACCCTAAATGATGGGGCTGAGAGCTTCCCTGTTCATGAAATATGGCATTGCTGAGGATGGCGAACCTGCAGAGTGCATGGGAGCCCCATCACTCCTCCTCCCCATATTTGCCCCTATACATTTCTTTAATTTTGGCTATTCCTAAATTGTATCCTTTATAATAAACAAGAAAATGTAAGTAAAGCATTTTTCTGACTTCTGTGAGCTATTTAGCAAGTTATTAAACCTGAGGAGGATGGGGGTCTTGGGAACCATTGATTTAAAGTTAGTCAGTCATAGAATTATGGGTGGCCCAGGACTTGTGGCTGGTATCTGAAATTGAGGCAGTCTTGTGGAACTGAGCCCCTTAACTTGTGAGATCTGATGCTAACTCCAGGTAGAGAGAATCAGCATTGAGTTGAATTGTGGAATATTGGAGAAGTGGTGTTGGAAAAGATAACACATATTTGGTTTTAGAAAGAAAGGAACCCTTTCATTAGGTGTCAAATGTATGGAATTTACTAAAGAGCCATGACTCACAAAAACGTGATTTGTGAAGAGAAACTTGTTAAGAGAGACGAAAGGGTGGGGGATGAGGAATCTCTTAACCTTGGATGGCATGAAACTTCAGCTGTATTATGATCAGTCGCTAAAGGTAAAAGTTAGCACAGATGGAATTTAGAAATGGTGGTAGATCTGACTTCTGCAGAACTTAACTCATTGGATACCCAAGGAAATGCCAAATAATAAAAAGCATGCCAAACATATAATCCCTGGGTTACTATTATCTATAATAGCTAATGTGAAAGAAAATGCCGAGTTGGACCTTGATACCAGACCAAGCTCAGATTTTAGTCAGTCTGAGTTTCAGCCACTAACTTCAAAGATATCCCAAACGAAAAATTATGCCAGGACTACAGAAAGTAACTCAAAAACCTCTGGTCACCAAGAAGATAGTCAATGTTGGAGAAAGGCAAAAACAAGTAACAACTGAAACCAAGGGGTATGGTGTGAAGGAGATGTCTCATTTTGTGGATCAGTAATATCAGCTTCCTGAAGAATCTTCAATAAAATAGATTATAACAGTGACTAACTTAGGGTCAGTATCTTTATGCTCAGTATGGAAGAGCATGTTTGGGTTGGTACAGGACCCAGAGCTCCCTATGGAACAATCACAGATGGCTATACATGATCCAGACATAGAGCAGATTATGCTTGAAGAAAGAACCAGTATGATGTACTAAATAAAAACTACTGTAGGCCCTGCTTACCCTGAGAAGGGGGCTGTCTTTTTTCCTCTATACATGCTGCGTGGAAGACCCCAGATGAAGCAGTTGATATGCTTCATATGCAAGCCATGTAGGGCTGGCTTTATGATAATTCGGTTATTCACTCATTGAATATGCCTATTACCCATGTTTTGGTGAATTTTATTATTAATATGAACGACTTTGCAAGGGCATTCCATGTAACCTTACTTCTAGAAAATTGGGCGACAGTTCAGAAGCCTTATCTAATTTGCTGTCTCAATTTCCCACCATGGGTCTCAAAGAAGCTGAAGAAACATACCTTAATTAACAAGAGAATAGGAAGAGACAAAGGGAAGAGTTAAGGAACTTGTCCTAGCAGTGTGGAAATCTTTAGATAGTTATTCATAATGGGATGAAGAAAATAGACATTGATGGTGTTGAATCAGAAGTCATAATACATCACTATTGAAGGCTGAGTGGAAAGCAACTGCCAGCTTCCTAATGTTGAAAGGTCCCAAACAAGCTCACTCTATTTGCCACTATTTGGAGTAATTAAAAAAATGAAAAGGCAAACATTTTAATGAGAAATTGGGCCTGGAAACTCTCGATGCCATAATTAGGCAGATTAATCAAGATAAATATTGACCCAGATCCCTCAGCTCAAAATCCTGCTGGAGACTCAAAGCTTGTTGTACTTGAGTGGATATGGTCAGATATGGAGAAGAAATTTTGGGGATTTCCTGAATGTGCTATGGTACCAAAGCCCACTGGCGAAGCCCTACCACAGGCTTCAATTAGATTTAGAGACTATGGAGATGGTCGAGTTGACAGGATTAAGGTGGAGGTTTGGATGAAAATTAGAATGTTTAGACAGACTTTATGTGAAGAGGTGTATCTCCTTCATATAAATGTTTTATGAGCATGATATTATATCTATGGATATTATGTCTGACGAGGGAATGCCTAGTATTATAAAACCAAAACCTTTTGATGAACTTCCAATGGAGGCTACAGTTAGCAACATAAGGGTTGATATAATTAAGGTGAAAGTTTGGAGGATAGTTGGTATGTTTGGACAAGCTGTAGCTGAAGTTGCTGCACATCTTTCGCATGCATGTATTATTAGGATGGACACTGTGTCTGGCCGGGGACATTTCCCCTACCTAGTATTGTAAATCAAAAGGCATGTAAATCTACCCTTCAAATGCTAAATGGGAACGAATAAGATTGTCTAAGCCCAAAAAGCATAGAATGGAGTATATATGGAGTGCTAGTATGGACAAATTCTCTGTGTGACAGTTTTATGTGTAGTGTATACTAGAATCTATGTCAAAAGCCTGTGAGTGCCTTCCAGCAATGAGTACTGGGACTCTGGGTATGTCCATTTGAGGGAGAATTATTAGCTTGCTGCCAGACATTTGTTATAACTGCCCCTATGATTGAGGACACAAAATAATCTTGAAACCATAAATACCCATAATGTCTTGGGCAATGTCAGATAAATGTTCTAATGTGAAGGACAGTGCCTAGAGGAGTTCCATATTAAAATGAAAATGGTATCTACAAGATCTCTGTACTACGGAAATCCAAGGAAGAGACGCCCATAAGTAGGGAGCCTTTGTTCCCCTAGCAAAGATTTTGTAACTATGTGAAGAGCTCCTGGATTCTGCCATCACTTGGATGATGCCCTATAAACAACAATCAACTGAGCAACAAAGAGCTGCTTGGTTTATGGATGGTAGTTCCGAGGTGAATGAATAGATTCCTGTTTGGAAGGTCATAATTCTGACTAAAGAAGGTAAAAACACATCAGCTCAGTGGGTTGAATTGCTTGCTGTCTGCCACAATGTTTCAGTTTTTATGAACTCATTGGTGCTGGCCATATGATCAGACAGAAGGGCAGTGGAAACTGGCCTATTAAAGGGATCCCCATATAAGGCACAGCCCTATGGAAGTCACTGTGGGAATTTGAAAAGTGCATTAAAATAGGACATGCCAATGTCTATCAGAAGATTCCCCTTCCAGCTTTGGAAATTGATTGAAATTGATGAGTGGTGTCCTCATTTGTGGTGGCCACCTGGGTCCATGAAATAAGTGGCCAATGAGGACGCTGCAGTAATGCAGAGAGGGACTGAATCTATACATGTTCCTTTCGCACCCTCTAAGTCACGAAATGACAATAAGAACTATTCAGTCTGCCAGCAAAGAGACAGAATTTGCAGATGCCTTAGTGACAGATTAGCTGGGAAGACGCCTAGCAAGTCAGACTGACGCCAGTAACCCCAGAAGCTACAAATACATCCTGTCAGAAGGTGACACTGACTTGGGACTGGACTTTGCTGACCTGGTTGTAAATGCAAATGCTGAGTACTGGAAAAGAACAGGAACAGAAGACATTGCACCAATTTGAATCACTATATGACATTTCTTCAGACCAAAAAACAATTTATAGCACAGCATCTGACAATGGGCAGAGAGTTAGCTTCCCTAGAATAATAGTTTGATAGAGATTTGGAACAGGCAGTTG